CAAGAAAATATTATGTGCAAACAATAGTGAAGCTTCGTGCGGAGGTCAATTCAAGATTACCACATGTCAAATAATATTTTTCCCTAAAAAATTCAAAAGAAATGGTGTGGCCGACGCGTTCCGACCAGACCTATCGGGAAAATAACATTAATTACTAAAATACAAAGCACGAGGTTTTAGGAGCTTGGGTTCCTTGGTGTTTTTGATTCTGCAATGGTTTAGAGATCGGCGTTTTTTCCCATGCGCTTAAGATTCTTGAAAGTTTAAAAGGATTGGGTTTGACATTTTGTCCCCTATGGTCGATATTTCTTCATTCTCCCAAGGTCAGGCTTCAGGATTTTCTCCCACTCTTCAATTTATTTCCTTATTCATGCTAGCCGACATTCATCTTAGGGCTCCACTTGTCTCCATGTCTCCCAGGTTAGCAATGAAGAAGAGGCTATGATTCAAAATATAACATAGATAGTTATGTGTTTAATAATTCCCTTTCTTATTGGGTAAGTAAATCCATAAATAGGGTTAGAAATCTGACTCCATAATTGTTATTAAGAAAAAAAAAGATTTTTTGTTTTGTTTTTAGTTAAATAAAAAAGCTTTTTTTATAAATTTTATGGTGCATTTTCTTCAAGTACAACAATTTTATATTCGTCTTATATATGTTTTATTGAATATAAACATCTTGAAATGATGTTTTTCTTTGGTTAATCTCAACAATTTCATAGATTGGCCTAGCTGTTTTCCTTTATATATATATATATTATGTACTCCAATTTTTTTATAGTTTTATTGTACATGGATGTCTAGTTTTCTTTAATGCAACCGTGTTAATATCTTTTTTTTAGTTTTATTGTTTTTTGTATAACCATTAAACTCATGTGCATTTTATATAAAATTTGAATTGAAAACATGATGTGTTTTTAGAAATATCATGTTTCAGCATTTTGTTTCTTTTTCTCTGTAAAACTATGTTGTTTATGGTTGTTTCTGTCTTTTTTGTTTGATTTTTTTCTTCAGTACAACATACATGGTTGTACCTAAGTATTTTTTTGTCTAGTTTTATTATTTATGTATAACCATGAATTTGTTCTGTATTTTATATAAATTTTGAATTGAAAACAAGATGATTAATTCAGAAATACTATGCTTTAGTGTACTATTTTTAGCTGAAAAGTATAGCCTTATCCTGCATAGCAACGCAACCCCCACTCCAAAACCCTTATATAATCCCCT